GTTGGGTACAGATGTAGAAAAAAAATGTAGTAAGTACAATAATACGTATTTTAAGATGAAACTCGGACTGGTAAAAGAAAAATCATCTATTAGACGAGTCAAGTTAGTAGAAAATAAGCGTTTTTTCGTCACAAGTGTATAGACGGGTTTGACAGTTGAAATGGATAGTATGAGATATTACAAAAAGACTCTCATCTAGGGATTCATGAATTTTTTAGTGGAACTATTTTTAAATAAATAATTAAGACGTCAATATCATTATTTTGCTCATAACTTATAAACTTATCTATTTAGATATTTGACGTCCACAGACGAGCTGTTGAGAAAGAAAAAATACACAAAATGAGATATACTAAATTAAAATCGGTTAATAAACAAAAAAGTTATTGCATAATAACCAAGCAAAACGGCTGTTTTTGATTATTGTTAATAACTCTTTTAGTAATCAATAAAATTTATTTAAATGTATCTGAACTTAAAGATCTCATCGTGTTCGAAGTGTGTGCGAAAGATAGGCTAGATCCGTCAAATAGTTTTTGCACAATTTAATTTGTTTATAAGATTTTTTGAAAAATGCACAAATTTCTAAGGCCGGTCCAGATAATTTGACTGAATGGATCTTAATAATCCGGGGATTATTTTCTTCGATGAGACATATATTAATATTCTGTGGAAAAAAAAGTTAAAAAAAATTACGTTTATGTAGGCACAAAATGATTTATTAATAAATAGCACTTTTTAAGTTTATAAACATTTACAATAACTCCGTACTATTTAGTTTAAATTAAATGGCAATAAAATATTCGGAAGGCGGGTTAAAAAACACAACTTTAAAAAAAAAAGGTCCTGCGACCATTAGGAGCCGAGTTGTCCTTTTTTTAAAAAATCACTGTTACGTCAATTAACAACATTAAGGGCTGAAATTAACCAATCTTTTAGAAGAAAAGTCAAAGTTATTCACAAAATGTTTAGCAAAAAAATAATTGAAAATTGTTTAAACAGGAGTGTTCTAAACGAAGAGTACTTTGCGTTCCGACTAGAATGGAAGGAGTGGGGATTGCCGATTGCACACAAGCCGCGCTCTCCAAAAAAGTCTTTTTTGTTAAAAACTTTGACTTTTCTTCTAAAAGATTGGTTAATTTCAACCCTTAAAGTTGTTAATTGACGTAACAGTGATTAAAAAAAAAAGACTAACTCGGCTCCTAATGGTCCCAGGACCTTTTTCTTTTTTTTAAAGTTGTGTTTTTTAACCAGCCTTCCGAATATTTTATTGCCATTTAATTTAAACTAAATAGTACGGAGTTATTGTAAATGTTTATAAGCTTAAAAAGTGCTATTTATTGTTAAATCATTTTGTGTACATAAACGTAATTTTTTTTAACTTTTTTTCCACAGGATATTAATATATGTCTCATCGAAGAAAATAAGCCCCGGGTTATTAAGATCCATTCAGTCAAATTATCTGGACCGGCCTTAGAAATTTGTGCATTTTTCAAAAAATCTTATAAACAAATTAAATTATGCAAAAACTATTCGACGGATCTAGCCTATCTTTCGCACACACTTCGAACACGATAAGGTCTTTAAGTTCAGATACATTTAAATAAATTTTATTGATTAATAAAAGAGTAATTAACAATAATCAAAAACAGTGGTTTTGCTTGGTTATTATGCAATAACTTCTTTGTTTATTAACCGATTTTAATTTAGTATATCTCATTTTGTGTATTTTTTTTTTCTCAACAACTTGTCTGTGGACGTCAAATCTCTAAATAGACAAGTTTATAAGTTATGAGCAAAATAATGATATTGACGTTTTAATTGTTGATTTAAAAATATTTCCACTAAAAAATTCATGAATCCCTAGATGAGAGTCTTTTTGTAATATCTCATACTACTTATTTCAACTGTCAAACCCGTCTATACACTTGTGATGAGTAAAAACCTAACTTGATTGGCCTATATAGTGTAATTAATTTAAATATTTTGAAGTTACATATCGTCGGCGTCGGGCAAATAAGTACGAATTTGTTCCATATGCCAAATTCTCATTTTGAGATATTTACATTTAAACATTTTGGTTATATTTACTCGTTTATTTTAAAACTCAGGAGAATGATGTTAATTATAAAAGAAATATTTAAAATGGTGTGCTGGATTATGACTTCAAATTTTTACTGACTCTTTTTAAATTTGAAAAAATATATATAAAAACCTTTGCTAATGGAACAAAAAGTAAAATTAGTACAGGAATTTGTACATTTGTTCCATATGCAATGAAGTACAAAACTGAATTATATAATAACGTAAGTAAAATATTTTAGTTTGCGTTTCTATGTAGCTTATGTATCATTCTTCTCATTTAAAAAAATACAAGGGCATATCAAAAAGAAAACTGCTTTTTGTTTTCAAAATTTATTAAAAATTAAAACATGTTTATGTGAAACAAAAAGTAAAAGTTTTACATTCTTCGCCGTAGGTACACGTAACTGAAATAAATGAATAATATTGTAATTAAAATAATGAACCTTATATTACTGCACCTTTTTTTATACAAGGGTACATCAAAAAAGAAACTCCTTTTTGCTTTTAAAATTTATTAATAATCAAAACATGTGTATGTGAAACAAACAGTAAATAAAAGTTAAATATTCTTCGCAGTAGGTACCTACTCATAACGCAATTGAAACAAATAATTGCAGTTGGAATAAATAAAATTATTTATTTAGTGAAGAAATATTGTTCTGTACAATATTTTGTGTCAACCTCAGGCATGTAGGCAAACATAGATTCGATATGCTTTATTTTTTTAGCATCGACTGTAGGTTTTTCGGTAATATCATTTACCATGCAAAAGTTAATAATAATATTAGTATCGTTTTGCCATGTTTTTTAGCAGAGCCGCGTGTCTCAAATAGATTTCTTTTTATAGCGTTAATTTGTTTACAATACATATCAACTCTGTAACAAAAAAATTACATGAGCTTTTACGCTCTCCTGGCAGAAATATCGTCAAATTAGTGTTTATTTGTTCCACATGTCAAATTCTTATTCTGAGACATTGATATTATTAAATTATATTATTAAATTTGGTTATATAGTGAAGAACACATTATTAAACAGATATGTATACATTTTTACACAAGTAAATAAATAATATATGCATTTACTTACCCGTTTTATACTTTTATTTATCACATCCAGTCGCCACCATACAAGAAGTAAGACACGTTAACCTCAACTCACTGCATAACACTGGTATGGCACAAACAAGCACTGAAGCACCGAATGCGCGTGTGAAATACTGACTTCCTATTGGCCTTTGCATATGGAACACTTAAGCACTGAAATAACCCATAAAATAATCATATGACACAAAGTTACAAAGGTATTACAGAAAAGTCTTGGCTGTTAGAGTTATCAGGGCCAAATTACATACATTATTATGTTTGCAATGTTTCATTACAACTTCTAACCCGAAAAAGTAGAAAATGTGGTATGGAACAAATAAGCACCAACCCGACGATATGTAAGCTTCTTATTGTAACCGCCTTTTTTTAAATTTAAAATTTGATGTTCTGTCAAGATGTAATGACAGTTGACAGATAACAGATGACAAAAAGATTGTAAGACATGAGGTTGGAATAAAGTTGCGTGAACCATGTTGCGTGAACCATTTTATTTTTATTTCTTAAGAAATTGAAGACATCCTTTCTACACATGAAAGAAAAAAGTTTTGAAAAAAGGCAACTGGAACTCAAGTTTTCGGGTAACTGGGCCTATAGATTCCAGTTACCCAATATAATTGAATTGTAACTATTAGTTTAATATGTTAACGTTTAATTTATTTTTAACTTACTACAAATGATATTCATAAATTTAAGACCATAAAGCGACAAGGGATAAAAATCTTTGCAAATGGCTAAGACTCAACCCAAAAATAAAAAATCCTAAAACTGAGTTTACACATCCTGTCCACACAGAATTGTTAAAATGCCTAATAGTACACGATCTCACTGCAGGATCACTACGTTCATAACGTAGTTAATCAAACTAACATTTAAAATTTTACGTTTAAAATTAGAAGAATCTATCTATATTAAAGGGTATGATGACAAGTCACACCGTTTGTCCAGTAAGGTAACAGCCACCTAGGAAAGAAATCTAAACTACCAAAATTTGACATTTCAATCATATTTTGTTCTTAGAACGATACGGTTGATTTCGGTACGATTTTCGAACGATTCGGATACGGTAGAATAGTTCGTCGGATAGTGACGTATTATACATCATTGGAAAGGAGAGGGGTAGCGAATATGTTTAGACAGAAAAAACCCACATTGTGGTATTGCTAAGAGGGCTTTACCATATCTCCTTTAAAAAGCCGAGCAAGCAATTTGTTACTGGTCCGATTAGAGCGTGTGATACGTTAACTAAAAGGGAAGGATATCAGGAATATATTCAGATAAAAAAAAACAAAAAAGGCGACCACCAAAAGGGTACTACACAGTATCTTTATTATTAATGAACGTATAGCGATATACCAGATATCATAGGACACCATAGATAAAAACAGATTTTCTATAAGACTAATTGTGATTTATTGACTTAAAGAAGGCCTCAGGCTGAGTACAAAATAAACTACTGATCGAATCTTAACATGTGACACAGCAAATAAAAGTGGAGGATATGAAGAATATATTTAGATAGAAAAAACAAACAAAAAGACTACCAAAAGGGCACTACACATCGTCTTCGTTAATAATAAACGTATAGCGACATAAGACATATCACATGACACTATAGATGATAATTACATATTATATATTAAAGGTAAATATAAGGTAAATTTGCTTTATTGACCTGAAAAAGGCCTCTGACTGATTACAAAATAAACAACTAGCCTATACCAGCATATGACACATCAAATCAAACGGCGTGAGACGTATAGTACATATTTAGTCGACGTGAGACGTTTAATACACTTGAGTGCAAAATAATCGACTCAAAAGCGATATTTGAGATTACACCTTTTGTTTCAATGTAAAAAGTATGAAAATAATAAAATGTAATGTGCAAACAATAACTTTATTATTGAACTTACAAAAACTGCTATTGCATTATTTAGAAGACGCATGATAAAAACAATATGCAATACAAACAGAGTTTCCTAAATATTCATCATTGGAACTAACGCAAGAAAGACGTTATGAACAGAGAAATCATCAATTACAATATGAATTTCTTAATTATTCAGTATTTGGTATTACCACCACTACTCCTTATTACACTTTCCAATCGATTTCGCATGGATCGGATGACTTTTCTAATAAATTCTTGAGGTCTCTCCTTCATCATTAAGCGCAGCTCTTAATTCTATTATGCTCCTTGGTGCATGATTTCTGTCCCGGACCCTTCGTTTAAGCTCATTCCAAACATGCTCTACTGGATTTATGTTCGGGCTTAACGCAGGCCAATTTATTGTAGCTATACCGATCTCAGATAGATAGGTAGTGGTGACTCGTGCGATATGGCATTGTGCATTATCGTATATTAAAATAAAGGCAGCACCAATAAATCCCGCGAATGAAACCACATGTTTCTCCAAAATGTCTCTGATGTTACGATCTGCCGTTAAATCTCCTCCACTTCCTCCACCATGCACGAAAATCAACTCGGTTTTCCCATCCATAGAACTGCCTGCCCAAAACATACAAGAATCGCCTTGATGACACACTTTCTCGTAAACAAAATTGAGCAAATCGCTCTCTTGGCCTTCCATAGACTCGACGCCTCTTGTCGTTGCCATGTAGGCAGATCCTACTTTAATCAGAGAATAATACCTGACTCCATTGATAGTCGTCCCAATCCAGATGTTCGCGAGTAAATTCTAAGCGCCTTTGCTTCTGGACTGCAGTTATCTTGGTGCCCTTAGCTGCCCTTTTTGGTGTCAGGTTGGCTGCCTTTAGTCTCCTTCTGACTGTACAAACGCTGGTCACCACACCTCGGACCTCACTAAGCTCCTCTAAGTTTAGCACCACTCAAATATCGATTTCTTAGGCCAAATTTAGTCGATTTGCCATGGCCCTCTGGATCAGGCCTTATCTCTAATGCTACTGCTTGAGTTGCGTTGAAGGATATGGTATCCATTTGTAATGCAGTTGCGAACTTAAGAGGCTGATGTATTAGTGGGTTGCTATGGAAATTGATGCGTACGATGGTAACCGAACGCGTTATGTCGGTGCGTGTCGATTTCAATTAGTCAAATTGTGCCCCCTCTCTACGTGTTGCATTATTAATTTGTAATACGTCATCCAATTCACCAAAAATCAAAATTTTTTTAGAACTTGATAATGAGGTTGATTATACACTAAATATTTTTAAATTTACTCTTTTCAGATTGAAACAGGAGACGTACTTTCGCAAAATAATTTTGAGTGGATTTTGCACTCAAGTGTATGTCAGGTCAGAAGTGCACCAGACCATACTTAATATTTACTTGGATTATATGCAAAAAACTTATTATTTTAAAAATTAGTGACTGACTGTAGATGACAATTGATTCGATCCCCGTCGTTTGCAACGGGCAAAGTTACTAGAACATTGATAATAGGTTGCCAGTCAAAAAGTGGCCGCAAATATTTTTAATTCAATTATGTAATAGTAATTAGATTTTGACAAATATTTTACTTCGTTCATTTATTTTTTAAATAAAATACATTGCTTATGATTCAAAAACAAATTTTGATGATAGAAGGTTGTCTGAGAAAAATGATCTCAAATTAGGGTTGCCAGCTATTAAAAACGCGAGGCATCAAAGATAATGTAAAATAGAGTTAGATCGTAACGACACTGGTTTGAGAAGTGATATTATGCATATTATGGACTACCAAAGTCTGACTTTACAATGGGCGGGGCTTAGAAAACCTTTCCAAATTATTAAGATAACTCTAATGTATTAGAGGATCGCATTAGCTATGACAAATCTCAGGTGTGTGAGGTCTTTCGTTTACTTGGCTTACAGCAAGAGGAATCCACCATATCACATGTTATCCGAGTTGACAAAGTGTCCAGTTACAATCAAGCTATAGTCCGAACTGGAAATAATAAAAAGCGAGTCATCTTGTGTAGTAGTGTAGTATTGGATTACAACGTACCACAGCGGCAAAATTTAATTTATATACATTTCTTAAAATTTCTTTATTTTTGTTAGTGGGTTATATATGCAGCTTAATAAGATATTGAACTAAACTTGCTCCTTGAGCCTCTAAAATTACCGTTTCTTCGAATATACGCAGATAATTGTTGGAAATTTTCAAAACACATGTCTACAAAAGGTTCAATTTCTCTCTCGTTATCAATTTAGGTTTAGTCACTGGCGTATCACATTGACAAACGGGAATACTTTGTTATTTATTTTCATAAGTGTGTTTCTTATAGCTAAATTATATATTGGATTGTTAAGTGTGTGTTTATTTCTAAGTTATTTTGTGTTTTACGGTAGACTTTAGAAGGTAAGTAGTGCTTATTTTTTTTAAATTTATTTGTTCAGTTCTGTACATACACGTTTATTTATAATATGTGTGTTAACTTTAATAAAACGCATATTGACTATATACATAAATATTATACCAGGAGATATATATGTATAGGGTGGAGGCGGTTCTAGAAATAAAACTTATTCATCATCTGGGTCTATTTTCCCCAATACCATATATATATATATATATATATATATATATATATATATATATATATATATATATATATATATATATATAAATAAATATACAGATATATATATATATATATATATATATATATAAATAAATATACAGATATATATATATATATATATATATATATATATATATATATATATAAGGATCACTCAGACGAGTGGTGGGTTCTTATATCGGTCTCTAGGTGGAGAAATAAAAGACAAAGTTGATAGGCTACTTTATCTATTTTGAAGACGTTTCGCTTTCGAGTTTTGAAAGCATCATCAGTTCATCTAAAAAATTATTACAATATGAGAACCACACAATCATGGAAACGATGTTAATTGTTACCTTAAAAAGATATGTAGCAGTCAATGTTATTAACAAACATGTGAATGAAACTAAGTAAATGGACATAATACGCTGATCTTGTATAAACAGTTAAGCAACTAACAACATATATGAACTTGTAAAAAATTAGCACAGCAAATGACCATGTGGTCTAAAGTAAATTCAATGTTATTTAATGTTAATAAGTGAGTAAGAACCAAGAAAATCATAAATAACTTCCAACTATTTAATGGATATTAAGCTTTGATTTTAACTTTAGGTAGCATTATAAGTGATATTAATAAAATCTTAAAAAATAGTAAATATGAAGTTACCGATCAAAGCCCTATGAATGTCGCCGGGAAAATGGCGTTTAATGAAACAGGAACGAACTAAACCGCAAAAAGACAGCCAACCTTGAGGTCAAAATTACTTTTGACAGATCAACAAGGTGTAAATACCAACCCAAATTTTGGGCGGTTAATTTAAGTTTAACTGAGTTTGGATGACTACCCGGTTGCAAAGGACAACACAGTGAAGAAAGTTGGTAGTGTAAACACAACTCCCCTCACTAATCAGCCCAAATTTACAAACAGGAGATTTTCATTCAACCTCATAAGTATGTAATGACGTTAATCATTATGGCTAGTTAAACAGCCAGGTGGTTAACGATTTTATAATTTCCAAACAGCCCAAGGTTCAATATACTTGGAGCTGTGATTTGCAAAGGATTCTATGAATCAATTACAATATTTGTATTATTTTAATATAAAATTTGAAACACTAATTAAAGTAATTAGTGTATTGAAATGCAATGTGGGTTGCATATGTAATAGTAATTTTAAGTAAAGATATTAAGTTATTTTATTGATATATTTATTTATTTTATTTCTATTTATGTATATAAATTGTTTTATGAAAAATGGAAAAAAGTTCAACTAGTACACCTAATATGACATTAATGTAGTGAAAAGATTAAGTAGCCTAATTCTGCAAAATTAAAGCATGATATATTTGGCTCAAGTTACTTATGTCAGTTCTCTTATTCAATGCATTGGGGTGTTTTAATATTGAACACATTTCCAAAAACTGTCTTTTAGCTAGATTGCGTTCAGTGGCAAGGATCTTAACTTCATTAAAATCCACTTCATGTTTTGTATTTATCGCATGTTGTGCTAGGGCACAAGTGTGTTTCGATAAATTAATGTCGCTACGATGTGAAGTGAGACGACCTTTTAATGATCTACCAGATTGACCAATGTAACATAAATCGCAATTAGCGCATGGAATTTTATAAATTGTGTTCACTTGTTCCAAAGTGGACAAGGGTGTTTTAGTTTTAGAGAACAAATTTCTAACAGTTTTTGCATTCTTAACAGCAATTTTAACAGGTATATTATTTTGTTTATACAATTTAATAAGTTTCTCAGTAACTTGAGGGAAATAAGGTAAGGAAGAGTAATGTGTGATAGTATTCTCAAGAACGGTATTATGCAGAACAGTGCTATTTATAGAATTATTAGAGATGTTTCTAAGTTGGTCACCATCGGGTATGTCATAAATTGAGGATCCATAACTATGCGAATAAAGGTATTTATTGATGATAGAGGAAGGATATGAATTCTCTATTAGAATATTTCTCAATAACTTAAAGGATTCCCTTCGATTAATTGGATGTGTCAATTTATTTAATCTATAGCTCAAAGCTTTTATAAGGTTTAGTTTGTATTTCATGGGATGACAGGAATGGTAGTTAAGGAACCTATTAGAGGCCATTGATTTTCTATACCAACTTGTGGTTAGGGTGTTGTCTCCCATTCTGATGACACGCATGTCAAGGAAGGGTATACTATTGGTGGTAGTGTCCTCAAGTTCAACAGTGAACTGTAAATGAGGATCAAACTCATTAAAGTGGGATAGGGTACCCTGAACCTTGTCAGGTGGTAGGGCTAGTAATAAATCATCCACATACCTTTTAATAAAAGGGATTTGAAAATCCAAAAGACCCAAACGGTCAGAAACCAAATCATCCAATACAAAGTTAACTAGGATGGATGTATATATATATACATATATATACATATATTTTTAAATATATATTTAAATTGACAGTCACGAATATCCAGTACTCATTATATATATATATATATATGTGTGTGTGTAAAGAATAAATCTTTTAGCAAAAAACTGCTATCGCTTTGTTGTATTAAATTGGCCAAATATATGGCCTAGGAGGACAAATTCGTTAAACTTCCCGTGTTTGAATCGGTATCAATAAAGTGTGTTATGACTCATTTCGGCCTATCCCAGCCTCATCAGACACTTGGGCTGATACAAATTCAAACACGGAAAGTAGAACGAATGTCTCCTAAAGCTTCACCACTGCAGTGGTTTGCGAGCAGAGGCGCCACCTACTTTGGCGGCCGTGAACGAAAACGATATGATCACATCGTTTTCTACCTCTGGGCTATGCGAAATGTGTAAAGAATAAATCTTTTAGCAAAAAACTGCTATGGCTTTGTTGTATTAAATTGGCCAAATATATGGCCTAGGAGGACATAACCTCAACATGTTTCTGATATTTAACCAAAATTAATATATTATATTAATATCAGAAACATTTGAGTATTTACTGATTACAAATTTAAAAAATGTTAAAACTGCTCTCCTTAAAAAGTAAGAAAATGGACATAGTGTCCTTTACCTCCGAGGTACGGATATTGAATGCTTATTGTAATATATGTAAAAGTTTCAAATGTTCACAAAAATTGTTACACAATAATTTATTATGACAGCACAACAGTAATTGAGTGTTAAATTTTTATAAATCTGCATAAAAACTGGAAGTTTATTAAAAATTTTGTAAAATGTTCATACAAAAGGTTTGAAACTTTTGTAAAAATATTGTTACAGCTTAAGTGATGTTTAGAATAATTTACTTAAAATCCCATATGTTATTAATTTTATCAAAAAACTAGTAAGAATTAAATGTTCCAACTTTTCATAGAAAAAAAAATTATGTAGTGTAACTATGGTAAATTATGCAACTGTGCAACAATATCCATAAACTGTGTCATAAAAAATGTTGACTTTTTAATACCCCCACTCACTTTTGTCGTAAAGCGCCATTTACAGTTGAGGCCCCCCTTCATGTTGATGTAGCAATAAAAAAATAATGTTTGTTTAACCTTCTGGCTAAGGTCTAGTGTTAGGGTTTTTAGGTCACGCAAGCCCCCCTAAAATGACTTAACAACTACTTTGGTAGCCGGAATCTACGAAGCACAGTGGAAGCTTAGTTTAAATTAGAAATTGAAAATTTTGTCAGTGTTGGGATTCGAACCCTGGCCCTCCAGCTTGTTAAGCCAGTAACATAGCACTGAGCTAGGACTGCCATAGTATGAATGTCACAATTACAACTCATGACCCCCCATCTCAGTAATTTTTTAAAAAATTCAAGTTTTTTAAAAATAACTACAAAATACCAGACTGTAACAAAACAATATATCATAAGAGCTAGTAAAATGTCCCATTTATAGCGGAAATAGTGACAAATTGGAATAAACCTATTCTTATTCTTTATACTATAGTATTATACTCTATCTATACTATACTACGTTCCATGTTTAGAAAATAACATTGCGGAGATAGGGCCATGTATTTCTTATGGACGATAGCAACGCGGCGTTGCCACGACACACACAAGCACAACTTAGGGTTGTATAATTTGTATTTTCGTTTCCACAAACATGAATTAAATTAATGTTTTTTAACGTAATTGACCAAAAGTGCCCATTCGAAACAAGAGATGAAAAGTAGGGAAAATGATTTTAATTAGATAAATAGTATTTACAAAAGATAATTTTATTTTATCTCATTTTAATTATAGTAACGACAGTTTATTTGTTTTTCGGTGAGAATACGATATGCCATGAATCATATAAATCAGTAGAAAATATTGACCGCTTGGAATGTGTATATCTAATTACTAATTGCAACTTAAAATAATATGATGTGCATATGTCAGCTATTTTATGTCGTCTCTGACTACATAATGATAATAAAACTTTTATTAAGTAGTTATTCTGACTTTTACAGTTAAATGTTAATTAAAAATGAAAATTCAAAAATTAAGCAAAGGGAATATCTTGGACATCCCTGCAAAAGAGAGTGTCTGAGAGTTCTGGCAACACTGATCTCCATAAGAGTAATGTTATTTTCTTAACTTGAAACAAAGAATAGTATCCAATAACTTAATGTCATGAAAAGAACTAATGAAAACATTATACCAATACAGAATTGCCCCAATATGTAAAACTGTAGTAACATGTATAACCAAAACCATACAGAAAAATCTCACCTGAGTTATACTTATCTGGCTCATTCTTCAAATCTCCCAGTTTAAGAGATGTTGATAACTGACTCTTTATATATCTAGAGTCATCTTCAATAAACTCTTCCTTCATTTCAACTTTTGTTACTGCCATTTCTAATTAAAAATAGGAATTAAATGACATTGTTAACTAGGCTTCTGTTATTGGTCTTACCTGAGCAATCTTCTGGTTCATTTTTTAAGTCTCTCAGATCAAGGGATGTGGATAGCTGACTTTTTAAATATCGTGAGTCATCTTTAACAAACTCATCCTTAATTTCAGCTTTCACTTCCATAATTATTTACCAAGAGAGTACGCTCAAAGAAGGGCAAATTTGAAGTTAACGTTTTCTTTGCTGGAAACGAAATACGAAAAAAATAAAAAATAAGGTTGTTCGAACTCAGTTCGGGGCAGACCTATAGAACGCAGTGATGTTCTGCATGGTACAGACAAACTCCCTCTGTTATCCGAAATTTATCCCACTTTTTATCGGAATATCCCTCCCCAATAGGTATCTTCGTTTATCGCGAGATGGCGCAGCGAACACACATTTCTATACATTGCAATAGCATTGTCGAGATAAACGAATATACACAATATATATAGTCCGTCTAGAAAGTATCCGGAATTTTATATTTTTCCTAATTTTAATAGATTTTCTTTTTGTTACATTTTAAGACAAAAGTGATGCATCAAGTAGGTTGTGCCGATAGTAGGTTATGGACAAAATCGTATGACAACACCATCTGTCAAATATTGTTGTTTGTAAACAGACTTAAGATTTGTGAAATAATGTCGCAAGTAGAAAAATGAAATGTGGTGGAATATTTGTATAGAAAGGGTGTCCGAAACGTTAAAAAATTAGTGCAATTGACTGAACTTGGAAAAAGTGCATTGGATGAGACAATAAAGAGGATAAAAAATGGCATAGATATGAGACATAGACCAGTTTCGTGTAGAACGCGTAAAATTCGCGCGTCAACTATTTAACAATTAAAAATAACTATTAAAAACAATTTAAATGCTTTAGTGGCTTTAGGACGACAAAATCCGCGCCTAGGGTTTCGAAAATTAGCGAACAGATTTGGAAATCAACGAAGAATAACAGTATGCCCAAAAACTGTTCACATGTCACTAAAAACGCAAGGCTACATATCAAGGAAATCAAAAAAATCCCTACAATGACATCTCTACAAAGGCAACGAAGAATAGATTTTTGTATTCGTTTTCAAAAAGATAATTTTAATAATGTCTTTATATCTGATGCAAATCATGTCTTGTTTCCAGCTTGGTGCAAATCATCTAAAAGTCCTATCAAGAGAAAATGTTACCATTCAAATTTCCAAATTTCGCACTAAAATAATGGTTTGGGCAGCAATATCTCAGCGTGGTGCTACATCTCTCTGTATAGTTAATGTTACTGTTGATAGTGCGAAATATTTTGACATCCTAAATGGTTTTCTTCTAGAAACAAATCATGTTTTATATCCAGAGGGGTGGTGTTTTCAGAAAGATAATGAAAGACGCCATACTTCTGCTTATACTCTTACTTCTACTTATACGTTTGGATGCAAGAACACGAATTGGCAACAATTCCGTGGCCAGCTGCATATCCAGATCTTAGCCTCATTGAAAACATATGGGGACTGATGAAGATTGATGGGGAACGAGTAGCGCCGCGAGATAAAGAAGATTTAATCGGGTCAGTTTTACAGGCCAAGAACACCATTATCGAAAATTATGGCCTTGACCTAGTTTCGGGTGTACCTGGACGTTTAGTTAAGTGTTTAGATTTAAATGGAGGTTGTATAAGTAAATGAGATGAATTATTTGTTGAAATTTAATATTTCAAGTGATATCAATAAATACCGTAAAATTATAATTCTGCTTTCTTTTTTCCGGATAATTTCTAGACGGACTATAATATCAAATTAAACCAAAGGATAAATAATACATATTTCGTAATTTTTAAAAGATTTAATTGAAAATATGAAATATAAAATGTTACCGCTGAAATTTTATATTTTTGGGAATAAACCACAATTACTGTTATCAAAAATACATTTTTTTCTTGTCAATATTAACACTAGAAGTTTAGAATGTGGTTGATACCTCAAACACCGCTTAGACATCGTAAGACAGCTGTCAATTATTCATTGACCTATGACAGATGACAGTTATTTGTCAATGGGTCAATGTCAGTCTGTGGTCACTTTATGCCAGAGATATACATATCTCTGCTTTATGCTAAGAACCACAGACCACTAATAAGGAGGTAGGCTTAGAACTCAACTTAAAAAACTGTAACCCAGATAGAAATCTCCATTGAAATTTAAATTACTTACAGGTTTTTCCGATAGATGTCACATGGTGTAGATATTAATTAAATAAGTACTGAAATAAGTTATTTTGCTTAATATGCTTTATATAAGTGCTTTTTATAAGTAATATATTTTCCCTCATTTTGATAGAAAAATCTCTTTATCCCATTTGATTCAAAAAATCCCTCGAAAAAGGGATAATCCCTCCTAAAGAACATCACTGAGAACAAGTGCCGAGGCCGAGGAACTGACAGAAGATTAGTGACAGATCTGTATTTGGCAGTGTTGCCATATCACAAATAAATCCTTGAAAGAGCATGCGATATAATATTAATTAACATTCAACATTCTTTTTAAGTTTTTGAAAGTAGTTTAATTAATTTAAATTTAATTTATTATAATTTTAATTAAATTTTTTAAGCTTTTAAATTCTTAAGTTATTAAATTTAATTAAACATCTTTACCGATATATTTTTACTTTGTTATTCACATTTTAAGGATTAAATTGTCAATAATGATAATTTAATCTCTGCAACGTAAATTTAAAAAAATATCGATCTGAACAAGCTCCAGTAACTAGCTAATACATTAACAAAACGATATTCAGGTAACATTTCACCCCAAAATTATAATAGTCATAAAATTGAAATCTGCTAAACATCTGTTGCAATCTGGCAACTACTGTTTTCAAAATTTTGACAGTATTGCCAAGTTTATTTACTAATCTACCAAAGGCCAATTATAATTTTTTTTTCTAATAACTAACTGCAACTAATATCAAAAGAAACAAATATTCATTCGTTCGTGTTTCATGTAAATTCAAAAAATTTTAAAAAATACCCGATTTCATAAAATAATATAATAAAAATGTACTGTTTCAAAGCATATTTGAGGCATAAAACATACACATAATAAGGACATGGCAATACCGCAGACACAAATTTGACATGACGTTTGTGTCAAATTCTCGGCACTTATTCTATAGATTTGCCCAGTTCGGACTCAAGGTTAGTAGATATTTAAGTAGGTTGTCTCGTAACTATAGACCAATAAAATGCTCGCTTTTTAAAGGCGGGAATACGTCACCCATACGACACTTTTAAAATTGCCATAAGCTTCAATGCTAATAAAAATTTCAAAAACTTAGGTTTTACAATATATTTTGGGATTTTCTTAGGTATAGGGATGTTAAGTGGTTCTTATATTAGTAATTATATCAATTTTCTTTTTAAATCAATAGTCTGATGACAAAAAATAGAATTGTTTATATTGATAATATTGTGCGTTTTAAATGGAGATAACAGTTTATTTCGCATAAAAACCCAAAAAAACAGTAGAAAAAGTTCAAAAGCAAAAATACTAAATATGTAGGAACTTACTTATTATGTTTTTCCTGGAATTTGCAACATTCTTATCAGATCTAGTGGTAGGCAAAAAAAAACAAATAGGTAATATAAATAATTTATTATTAGATTAAAATACAAACAATGATTACTCCTTCAAGCACAAATCTTCAGGCTATAGGTTTGTTAGTTCATGACCGTGAATTTTTAGACAAACTACATATAATTGTTAGACAAACCTTGATATCACGGATACGACAACACACTTTACAAGTCTCTATAAATAATATTGTCTTTATACCTATACTTAAAAATAAAAACTAAACAATAACCAAACAAATAAACGAACTAATGGTACTATAGTAAAATTCCACAAAAAATATACGAATACAAACGTGAACTTAAACTCAGACGTGCAGACAACTCTCCATCAACTGTCAAATTTGACGTTGTCGTATGAGTGACGTAAGCATTCTGCCTTCCCCTCGCTTCGCTCACATAGTTACGAGACAACCTACCTAAATATCTACTAACCTTGGTTCGGACTAGCGTCACCGTCTAGCCGTTGGCAGGTCAGGATAATCCTGAACCTGATTCCTGACCATAGAGAAATAACAATCCTGACCAATCCAATCGCACTTGAGTTTGAGTATGTGTGTGGCGCGTCATTTAAATTATGTACATATTTGAATGTAACAGAACAGTTATCATAGTTGTTGTTATTTGTTATGTTGTTGTATAATAAAAATAATTACCACAATCAAATATCAGCAATAAACTGACGTTCATATAGACTTGGAAATAACTGTCCAATATCAGTTTGATGTCCAATGTGTGTTTTTATAAAATTGACTTCAACTTTTTCTGCCAAATATCAACCACAACCGTGAGACTGCTGGGCAAAATCCCCCAATTTTTATACTGCCTTTCATTTTTTAAGTGCCTTTTTCCTTTGCTTTCAGAATTAAAGCAGCCTGACCGATGACAGAGAAACTTCATTGTTTTGTGAGTCTTTGCGGAAAAGTTCTCGACTTTAACGTATTTGGTTTTTGTACTACTTTCAATAAAACATTTCCACTCCTGAAAAGAGACTAAATTGAAAAATTGAAGTGTTTCACTTTCTAGGATTAGGTTGTGTTCTTCTTGAAAATGAGAATGCAATTCGACAACATAACTTGAATAAAAATTATACAAAGGACACTTCTTAGAATCTTTCTTGATTTTGCTATCTTCCGTTGAAGTGTCTACAACATTTTTATGAGTTTCTGTGTATTCAAAACAATTAAACATAACTCCTTATTTGTGTGAACAATCTGAGAACGTTTCGTGATATGAGAAATGAGGACTGTTACACTCAAACCTATACATAATTTGAATGACGCGCTACACACAAAATCAAGTGCGATTACATTGGTCAGGATTATACCACAGAATAATAAACAAACAGAAGGGCCACTCTCAGATGCCGCCTTTGAAGTTTTTCAGCACGCGCGCCATGTTTTAGGAGGACACAGACATATGATTTGTGTGGTTATGTAATTGTTTATATTTATGTTTAATTATATTATATTTATGTTATTATATTTAACAATGTTAATATAATTGTATAGTATGTCTATGATTGCCGTAAG